CTGCTTTGCTGTTCGTGACATGAGACAGACACTTGATGTTGGTGTCATCAAAGCAGTAGACAAGAAGGCCGATGGAGCTGGCAAAGTCACCAAGTCTGCCCAGAAAGCTCAGAAGGCTAAATGAATATTATTCCCAACATGTGCCACCCAGTCTTAATCAGTGGTGGAAAAACAGAACTGTTTGTCTCAGTTAGCCACCTAAGTGTCATAGTGAAGGACTGGTTAATGATTACAGTGCATGGTCAAACCTTCAGAAGGAAAGGAAAATGTGTTGTGGGCCATTTGGGTTTTTGTGTGTGTGGCAGTTTTTAAGTTATTAGTTTTTAAAATCACAGTACTTTTTAATGGGAACTTCTTGACCAAAATCTGCCACAGAATTTTGAGACACATTAAGACAAAGTTTAATGAGAAAATAAGTGTATAAGTAAATAAAATTACTAAGCTGATTAAACTGTACTTTATATGAATAGAGTAACAGGGCATCACTTGTAGTACTTAATCCCTCTAAGAAAATTAGAGGTTATGAGTGATAAAAATCAAAGAGAATGTGGAATTAAGAGAATTATAACTTCAAACACAAAATAAAGAGCAGATGAATTTCCTATCTAAGAGATAGAAATAATTCATCTTTCTAGATGAAAGTGTGAAACATTATCATATCAAGCTAAAGAAGCATAACATAGCAACTGCCAGAACAAAAACTAAGTGAACTGACATTAAATTTCAGTCCTGGCTGCTGGCAAAAGAGCAAGCAGGGAGAGGCAGGAAGCCCACCCCACCAACAAGGCACGGATGTGCAGGGATTGCTGATAGCTGAAAAAAGATCTGACGCCTGAATTCTATACCCAGCAAAAATATCTTTCAAAAGTAAAAACAATACTTTTGTCAACAAAAATGAATTATGAAAATAAAGAATTTTCTGCCAATCTTCAGAGAGTATGTTCACTGACAGCTTCCAGTTAACTCTTTCTTGATCGGCCTCAGCAACTGAGCAGATGTCATGGTGCTCTGGGGCAGCCTTCACCAGCAAGGGAGCGTGACAGTGGTTCACCAATGGGAGACCCCTCTAACAGACAACCTTTGTTTTGCAGACCCTCCATTGGTCTAGCAGAGACTTTCCAGGTAGGCATTCAGGTCTCACAGATACCCCTTTCAATCTTGCTTCTACCCTTTTCCTTTTATGTTTATTACTTCCCAGTTAACCTTCTGAATTCTTAACTCCGTCTCTGTGCCTGTTTCCCAGAAAGGCTAGTCTGTAAATATTGCACCTGGAGTGGTAGGGAAACAGGCGGTAAGATGGGGTTTGGGGACTTATCTCTCATGAGCCCTCTAGCAATCACATCCACAAGCCTAGGGGTAAGTGGTGTGCATATAACCCTAGCACAAGGCGGCATTGATGGCATGGCGGAATTGCTAGCTTCAAGGCAATATTTTTTGAGGATGAGGTGCCATCCTTCAGGACAGTGTCACCAGAGAAAACATCAAGCATCTCACTGAACTACAAGCTATGGTTGCACATTGGGCTTCTTGTGACCAGGGACCGGCAGGCAAGAAGAGGGGACACTATCTTGTGAATGGTAATTGATGCTGATCAGCAGAAGAAATGGGACTGCTGTTACGGAATGGGGGTAGGAACATGCAGCAACTAAAATCCACCTGGTACTCCCTTAAAAATTTTAACTGATAATGATAAATGCTGCAACTCTGGCCTGAAGAGAGTAGGATTACCAGGGCCTCAGCCTTGTTACGGTCTAGAGTCTCCCCAGCACAAGCAGGGTGCCTAACGCAGTACGACCGTCTTTGAGTATTTGTGAAGTGACTGACTGAGTAGTGCAGGATAATTTTCTTCGCCTTAGGCCTTGGTCTGGCAAAATACTTACCAAAATGCCCCCTCTGACTATCTTTAACTTTAATCTCTCTAGACTCTTTTCCCTATGAAACTAATACAATTAAATGACACACTCTTAGGTGCCAGTGCTTCTTGTCATGGGTGCTCTGTGATTGCTGGGACGGAGGATTGTGATCTACTCGGGGCTGCTCACAGCACATTAGAGACACTGATGTCAGATAATTTGATAGTAAAATCAGGTATTTCCAAGTTGGTACCAGCTGGCAGGCAGTCATTTAGTTGTGCATATTTTCAAAGTGATCCTCCAGCAAATATAGGCACAGGGCATGTCTGGCTCTGGAACACTCTCTGCTGGCCCTGCCACCAGTAACACTGCAATGGACCTGGCAGGGAAGGGAGCAGAACAACTCCCACATGGGGCAGGAGGAAACATATGGATCCCACTCCCTACAAAGGGAGGCTGAGAAGACCTGGAGATGAAAGGGCCTTCCAATTCTAGCAGCTCCGGGTGGGGATTAGTCTCCCATGACTGGCACTTAAGTAGTCTAATGACTTCCAGCTCTGGCCAGTTAAACAGTCTACTGCATAGAGTAAGTACTCCCTTTGATCCTCAAACACAAAATGGACATGTAAATGGATAAAATATCAGTGTTAAACACTAATTCCTTATAAAACTTCATATCTACTTTTGCCCCTGACTCATAAGTATTTATTGATATCTATAAAAAGAGGAAGACTCCCTTCATGTTTTATGAAAGACACACACATTGTACACAAGTACTTTGCATCATTTCAATTTTCCAAGAAAAGGAATTGAGTGTAACTATGTTGAATAAAATATTGAAATTTTATATAAAATACCTGTGGTGAACAGAGTGCCCTCCCTCCTTTCAATAATGCCCATGAATCCCTAGAACCTGTTAATATGTGACATTACACGGCAAAAGGGACTTTGCAGATATGGTAAGGTTCAAACCTTAATGTAGGGAGATTACCCTGAACTATCTAGATGAACCTAGTGTGATCGCATTAGTTCTTAAAAGGAGAGATCTTCCTCTGTCTGGATTCAGGAAAGATGCTGCCGTGGGGGAAATCAGAAAGATCTGAAGGGTGAGAGGATCCTGACACATTCTTGTTGGTGGGTCAGGATCCTCTGGAAAAGCATGGACCTCATGGAAAGCATGAGAAAAAAATGGGCAGCCTTTGGAGAAAAGATCAGTCCCCAAATGACAACTGACAAGGAAATTGGACATCGGTCCTCCCCTTTACAAGGAACTGCATTTGGCCAGCAACCTGAATGAGCGTGGAAAGACGGTCATCATCCTCTGAGCCTCTAGGCAAGAACTCTGTCCAGCCAGCATCAGGATTTCAACCTCCTGCTATATTATTGAGCAGAAAACCCATCTGAACCACTATACTCTGACTTCTGACCTACAGAACTATGAATAAATACACTTGTGTTGTTTTAAGCCACTAAGTTTGTAGTAATGTGCTATGACAGCAACAGAAAATTAATATATTACCAAATATCAATATATTAATTCTAATATTCTATGGTTCCGAAATACAATGACTAGAATAATCAATTAAAATTATACATTTCCAGAACCCATTCATATCCTACTACCAAATATTATGTTTTATTAAAAAAATACATGGATTATGTCCATTCATAATTGTTACCATTGGCATTTAGCTAATCATTAATAAAGGAAAGAAAACAAAGTGTATTAGACATTGAGCTTGTTTGCTTCACCAGAAGCTGCAGCCTCACACTCCAGAGGGTCATAGCATTGTTCCCCAAGGGGATTAACACGCCTCTGTTCTCCCCGTCCAGTCCTGGCCTGTTGCGGGTGTGGGTGTAAGGGGAGGTGCTGGACCACAGAGGCCTGTCAGTCTAACTAAGAGGCATAAACCTATAAAAGCCCATGAAAACCTGGGAAGTTGACTGGTCATTTTGAAAAAGCTTCTGGTCTTTTCCAAACCCGAGACATATAATCCCAGGGGAACAAAGAATCTCTCTTGCTCTCTCACCCACCTGATGGTGCACACTCTGTGCATCCACGCATCATCTCTCCGTAGCCATGTGGCCTTAGCAGCTACATGGCTCATGACCATGTGGACTCCACATGTAGACTCCAGAAGGGAGCCCAAATACCACAGCACAGCAACGAACTACGGCTGGAAATGCACACTAGCTAGCTGGATGCTGGACTGGACGGGACTTTATTATGGAGCAGAAATGCTGGACAGTGGCCTTCATCCTGGCCTCCTGAAGACAAGACTGGACCTTTTCCATGATGAGACCACTGGGAAGTCAGGAGGGAAGCCCCTTAATTTTACATCATTGATAAAGTTAATCACAGAGCCCTATCCTTCTGTGTGGGTCTCAGAAAATTCTTTTCCTCATGACACTGCAAGAACTCCACTACCACTGATAATAGATAATTACAGGGTACTTATTAAAATGTTATCTAATGGGAAAAATAGACAAAAAACTGTACTTGAAAAATAACTAAATAAAATTTAAAAATTAAAAAAAAAATGTTATCTAGTAATAATATACCAATTTCTAAGTAACTATCCTCTCCAATATTCACAACTTTAGCATTCATCTTAAAATAAGAAAGAGATAATCACTTTGTCAAATCTTTCTCAAGTTATTTTAGTAGTTTCATATAGTTTGCTTTAGATGCACATCTCTTTTCAAACATGTTTAATATATTTTATTAAATTCATATTTTATATAATGATGTCATAATCACATGAACAAAGACCAGTGATCATTAATAGGGTTGAATGAATCAATGTTTACAAAAATGTGAGAATACAAAGATGCCAAAGCTTTACAGGCCTCAGAAGCACAAAGAATTCTAAGGCAAAAGTCACTCATATTTTTAGTATGTAAATATATAAAACCAATAATATCGAGTTACTCTTTCACAGCTTGGTGGCTCAAAGTTGCAGGTGGTTTTCTCACAAGAATGCCACAGTTCCTCCAGCTCCTGAGCTGCAGGAAACACTTTCAGGCCATTTCAAGCTTGACCAGCTGCAGCCAAGGTTTCAAAATTATAACCATGCCAACAAAATGAATTTTTCCAGGGACTCTACAACATACTGTAAGATCTCGATTTAGAACATGGACACTTACTTTTTCTGAGTTCGTTCAGCCAGCTTTGCAGCCTCTACAGCTGCCTTCCTGATAGCCATGATAGCTGCCTTCCTGGCTTCAAAATCTCCCCGTTTCACCACCTTGCCAGTCCCTCGGCCGCCTAGCTCCACCAACTGGTGGGCCAGGTCTTCGTCCTAAAGAAAATACCAGTTGTTAGATGTGCAGATGAATTAGACATCTTCTTTTACCCAGTGTATACTGAATAATCGTGTTAAATGAAAAATCAAATTTATCATTTCTAAATGACACAAGGTCTATTAGATATGAAAATTAGAATTTTTTCTCATAATACTCTATTATAAACATTTGATTTGTCATCTCTTTCCCACATATGTAAAATGAAAAACAAATCAGTCACTACATTTTCTCTAAGGGACTGGAAGACAAAAGTCTGTGGTGTTTTAAATCAATTTATGAGAACAGCTGTAGATCATTAATAAAGAATCTTTAAAACAATAAAGTTAGAGACAATTGTACTCCTACAAGAAAGACTTTTATAAAAACCAATCATACAAAAACAGAATTGGGCTGTTGTCAGAAAATTCAATATTTCAGAGACTTACTTCCTTGAAGTAAATTAACTGATGACACAGAGAATTATAACTTCAAACACAAAATAAAGAGCAGACGAATTTCCTATTTAAGTAAAAAGATATTGTTTCCATATAATGTTGGCACCAATAAAAACACAAAAGTAGAAACCCAAGATGACTATAAAAAGCTTCAAATTGGAAAAAATTTCCCACAATACATTGGGCCTTTTAGATTTCAGTTACTTTAAGAATCGCCTCACATATTTTTTGTCACTTGAAAATTATATTCAAGAAATAATCTGACTTCTTTCCATATGCTCACTTTTAGTAATACATTTAAGAAAATTTACATGCAAATCATCTGAAGGTGTCAATTTACCTGAAGTTGCTAATATAAAAACCAACATATTACATAAAAATATGCATATAGTAATAATGGTCCTTATATTATCACCTCAAGTAAATATAAAATATCTGAAATGTAGTGAAATCATGTTATATATTATTATTAGAGACCCTTACTTAACACCTCACTGTTGAATACAACTATAAAACAGGATTAAATGAGAAAACTTAAGATGCGAGGTTAGTAATCTAATGAACCCATAGTGGCTAGTTTAAAGTTGAAATTACTGGGGAAAAAAAGTATACTATCAACCTAGAAAACTTGCTGCTCTTCTTTGGTAAACACTAAACGCAAACACTGTGTAGCAATGTGGCTCTATAAGCTAATACAATGTGAAGCACCGGCCTTGTCCGGGCTGTGCCTTCTGACTCCTTCCCTTGCTCACTGTACTGCTACCTCTGGCCTCTTTAGTCTGAACCACAAAACTGGGCAAATGTCTCCACCTAGTGGAATTAATATTTAATTAAAAAAAAGACTTAAAAGACTGTGGGTTTGATTTATCAAAGTGAGATGACTTGCATGTAAATTTTCTTAAATATATTACTAAACATAAGCATATGGGAAGAAGTCTCAGCTTAGCGCTCTGAGCCTCTGAGAGTCTTCTAGCAGAACCTAAATTGCTGTGGCCAACAGAGTATTTTATATAGCAGAGACCATTAGAAAGTTGCTGTATTAACTTTTGTATGCAGAGTGGATTATGCATTTGTGGCACCTTCCCTGGGCCAAACAGAATTGTTTGGATAATTCTGCACTCATATACACCAATGCATATTGCAGCAAATGACAGGATCTACTTAGAAAGCACGTTGAGAGTTGAAATTGGTTGCTTCACTTAACTGACCTAACTGGTCAAATCATGAATCAACTCTCCAGTTTAAAAAGCCCATTATCTTTTTAGAAATTATCTTTAAAGATGAACTGAGAAATAAAACATTTATATGGATTCACATACTTAGCATTTGTGGGGCTTTTCTTTCTTTTGTGTAGATCCAAGTCTCCTCCTGGTACATGATTTTCCTACGTAGAACACTTGAACGTTTCTTAGTGTTCAGGTCTGCTAACAACAAATTATCTTGGCTTTTTTTTTTTTGGAGTGAAAACAAATACCCATTTATGTCATCTTAATTTTTGAAACATTTTTCCTAGATTAGTGGTGTTCTGGGCTGACTTTTTACATTTCAGCACTTTAAAGATGTCATCCCATTGTCTCGTGGCTGGTTTTATTTCCAGTGAGGAGCCTTCAGTGTTTCCTGCTTTTGTTTTATTCTATATGTGGCTTTCTACTTTATATTCCTTTAAAATATTCTACTTATCACTGGTGTTCAATGATTTTAAAATGGGAGTGATTTCTTTGTGCTTATCCATTTATTATGCTTGGAATTCTTCATACTCCTTGGCCCTATGAATTTATAGTTTTCACCAAACTTGAAAACATTTTAGCTATTAATTTTTCCAATATATTTTATTCCTTCTGATGCTTTTGGGATTATACTTACTTTGTGGGGAGGGTTTGAAAGAAAATGTTATTTTTTATCAAACTCTAATGGTTTTAAGTGTAACAGTTCATCTTAGTAAAAACAAATGATTAGCCATGATAGTCAAAGTATACTTCATATAAATAAGGCAGTGATAGTTTATTAATTGTTGATGCTTTTTTCCCTCATGTGATCATGAGTCACTAACTTTTGGATGCTAGAAGTTTGAGGGTTTTAGCTACAAGGCAGCATCATGCAAAAGGGAACCCTGAAAGGCTCAGCCCTAAGAAAAGGCTTCATTAATTTACAGGAGCTGTGAGACATGCAGCAAAAGTAGGCTCCAACCAGTGTGCAGCAAATGTGAGAGACTTGGTTCTGAATGCATGGCCATATCCTACTGGGACAATCATAGACACTGCCAGGTGCTGGGAGGAACGCCTGGCCCCAAGGATGTGCAATGGCACAGTGCCTTCAGGTTTCTCCAGCTTTAGACCTTGGCAGATGAGTTCCATGCCAGAAGCCAGAGGGTCGGTGCCCCATTCCTGGAAGGCTGCAGATTTGCAGCTGCATTTACACTGCTCACCCCCTGCACTGGTTTCAGGCTGTAACAAACACTCGCACAGCCTTTGGGCCAGAGCCCATTTCCCCCCACATGGCTGGGCAGCTGAGACGAGCACCTCCCTCATTGTTTCTCTGAGAGGGGGTGTATTTGAGGGTAGATGAGAAGTGGGGTTAGCATGTTGGGTGGTCTCAGCCAGATTCCTTATGGAGGAGTCCAGGACAAGGGGTATCCAGCAGTCTGGGCACCTAAGTGTTTCTCATCTGGAGAAGAAAAAAGGAAAAAAGTCTATGGCCACTAGAACCCTTGATATTGTCCTATAGGCTACTGAGTTCAGTTGGCTTTTATTTGTGTCATTTGTTATTATGTTTATTGATGGAAAACAGTTGTTGTAGCTCAATCTTAGATTTCTTTACTAAACTCACTAATTTGTTCTAATAGGTTTCCAGTTAATATTCTTGCATTTATGTGGTAATCATACTGCTTATAAATAATAATATTCTGACTCCTTCCAAATACTTATGCCACTTTTCTTTCATTGTAGCATTGCTTTGGCCAGACTGCCAATAAAAAATTAAGAGGAATAGTTAAGCTGATTGAAATGCTAAGGTGTTTAGCCACTAGATAAGAAGTGTACTACAATGGGAGGCCATATACTCTTCATCAAGTTAAATGAGTGACTTTAGAATTTTATCCTATTTTTTTCTGTATCTATAGATATTATTAAATAGATATTTTTCTTTTTAATTTATTAATGACATGAGCTCATCCTATGACAAATCACACTACTCTTACTCTGATTTATTATTTCTTAATATAACCTTGGATTCATTTTACCTTTCTTTTCATCAAGTTCATATATAAAATTAGTCTTTAACTTTTTATTTTGTGCTATCCTTTTCTGAATTGATGTTAGGATTATACAAGCCCTATAAAATGATTTAAGAAAATTAAAATTGCATCCTTTTCTTTTTAATTTTAATTAAATCGGATATAAATCATTCTCCTTGTGAAAATTAAAACATGGCAGATATAGTCAATTTTATTGCATCAACTTAGCTAAGTTAGAATTAGTTTCCCATAATTAATTCTTTGGATAGTTACAGGTTAGGTTGGGCCACAGGAGACATTTGCAATAGATTTGGGAGGTAGAAGAGAAGGAACAACCATATTGTTCTAGGTCTTGCAGGACCTTATCCTTCAGCTTTCCCTACGGCTGTGCCAGGGGCCTGTGCATGTTCCACTCTGTGAACAAAAGTGCCAGCTTCTCCTGCAGATCACCTGATCCAAGTTCCAGTTTGTCCTTCAAATTCTAACTCTTCCTTTCAGATCTTAGTTGGCACTTGCTTCCCCACTTCCCATGTACCTTTCCTTCCTGGCTGTCTGTCCTGATGACTTTCAGCTCTAGAACCAAACACCAAACAAACAGCTTTAACGGACTGTTTAAATAGTTCCCATTTTGTGTGGTCAAATCTCCAAAAAATTATGTACTTGTCACACACACACATGTGTCACAAGAACACACACGTGTGTGTGTTTATTCTGCTTCTCTTATTGAACCCTGAATGATTCACAATTAGCTACTGGTAATGATTCCAGAGGAATAGAAATTTAAGGATGGATTGTCTGAACTATGTTTACCTGGACTTAGTTCTCTACTTTTATTAAAGACATGAAAAGCCTTGTTTACAGTGGTAAGGAGTACATCATAGTCCATGGAATGCAGAGGCAAAAGTTATTTATCACTTCTGGATGCCTGCAATGAAGATAAGGCTTTGGGTACCCAAGTGTTTGCCACCAGAGGACATTTTAGTGCCAATAAGAAATATAAGAAATATAACTGTGTTCAAGGCCTTAGTGAGGAAAAAAAAAGAAGAGCTCAAGGCTTGGGTGATTAGCAAGCTGTGAAAGGGAAAAATATTGGTACAGTTTCATGGTTTTTAAAACTCTTTCCATCAATAATTTCCATTATGCCATACATACATGAAATTTGTATAATTATTGATAATTTTAGTGCCCATATAAGAATTGTTTATTATAGTTGCTCATTTTTCTATTGAATTTTATCTATTTCTTAATGATTTGTAGGGCAAAATTCTAGAAAGCAACTTGATTATACATTTTGCAAATATTTATTGTCAAATAGTTTCTTGTCTTTTGA